TATAGTGCACAGTGTAGACGTTATCGCTGCTGTTGTTGTCCCGTTTTTCAAGGTATCGACTGAAACGCTGTACAAATATTTACCGTTGGTAGCGGCAGCAGCAGCGGCAGCGACAGCGGCTTGTTAGAGGAGTATCTGGCAAGTTTTTGACCCGCACCCGACTACCGACTACAAACGATAAGCGCTGCAGACATGGCCACGCTAATTGCGGAATGATAAAAGTTGGTAACCGCTCCCGGCCACAAGTGAATCGCGCAATTGCCAAGATTTCGACTTAGGCCGTTTCCCGTTCCCATGCTCCTGCGTTCCTATTTGCCTAAACCGGCCCCCAAGGAATACTCGAAAAGTCCTCGGCGTTGCCAGACAACGCAAATTTGTGTGCGGGTGGGGAGAAATATTTGAAGAGGGAAATGTCGAAATGGCGGCTAAGCGACGAGAAAGGGAGGCGTGTTGGGTAAAGGGGGCTGCTGCAGTAGCATTACATAAAGTATAAGAAAAAATTATGATTTTCACTTGGCAACACTCAAGCACGAGAATGGGCATGTTGAGGGGGATGGGGAGGGAGCCTGGTTGCTGCTTAACTGTCAAAATCGTGTAATTTAATAAAGTTCGCTGCGGGATATTGTTCGCGCAGAAGGTTCTACATATCTAGTACTCGCACGAATCCAGCTTGTTCGCGTACCCCATTTCTTCTTCTTCTTTTGCCACTTTTCAGCTTCCTAAGCCAGCTGCTGTGCGCTTCCTTGCCCGCCCTGCCCGCCATGGTAAGAGGCAGAGGCAGGATTGGAAGCCAACATCATAGACCTTGCCTTTGTGTTTGTTTTTGGCTTGTGTTTGTATTGTTTTGCTTTTTTCTTTTTAATTTTTATTTTTATTTCACATCGCACAGTGGGCGCATTCGTATATGCATATGAACAAATCTGAGCCATGCCAAACTCCAATGTTATCTTCGAGAACTCTTACAATTTAAATTAAATTAACGACAAAATTTACTTCTATCAAATTATTGGCACAATTTTCAAATAAGTAATTCAAATATGTTTTGTTAAAATTTTATATAAGAATTTGTTTTGATCAAAGCTTTAAAGGATTTATTGCAAACAGGTTTAATTTAAAGCGTATCGGGGTTTCTTAGCCAGAGGTAAGGGAAGGACGGTTAGGGAGATATGGAGAAATCTGTAATTGAATGCGAAGTGCGGGTTGATCTAAGAGTATATCTAAATTATATATAAATTATATATCTGATCAACCTTGCATTAGGAGATGAATAGCAATTGCAGAAGCTCTTGCTACAGTATACAATCAAGCCGCAATCGAAAGGAAAACGAAAGAAAAACGAAAGGAAAAGTCAACCTGAAATAAGCAATGAATATAAAAAATGTTGCTGGGCGAATGACTTGACTTGATCGTGTCGGACAAAGCTCTTGTGGATCAAATTCAAGATGTATTAGTTACCAGAAATAACAATAAAATCTGAAAAATTGAATCTGAATCTAAAAACATGGAAAATGCAGCCATAACTAAGGAACTCGAAAGGCGGAGGAGATTATTATCTTAGCCAAATATCATTGGGACAATGCATTGCCTGATCATCTCGATGTGAAATTCTCGATCAAAATAAAGATCACAATCAAGCGAAACTTATAATTCTGGTTGGTGGCTTCACGATTGCTATAAAATGTAACTAATAAGTTAATCTATTATGTTTAATATGAAGTAATAAATTAAAAGTAATTAAATTGGTTCGAATGTTTATGATCAGACATAAAACAATAAAAACAAAAATATAGTGAAACACATTTAACTTTATTCAAGCTTAAGTCGAGTTCTTGAATGGGAAAAAGTTTCTGTCTTCTAGATATCTTGATTAAACTCAGGAATTACGAACTTTATTATACTAATAATATATCTGTAAAATTGTTACAAATTGGTCGCAAATAAAGCTTTGGATGTCTTTTTTTATTTCCCTACTTTTATTCCAGAATGCATAGGAAACGGTAAATTGGCAAATTTAGATAAAAGTATATATATTCTTGATCAGGATGTCGGGTTAAGTTTGTCTGTCTGTCCGTCGAAAACTAAATCAGCTAGAGACCTGAAATTTGGCAGGCGCAGAATGGGCTTTTTATACCCTGAACCCATTAAAAATTTGTATAAGGGTATATTGTATTTGTGCGAAATCCAAGAGCTAGAGAAATTTTAGATGTAGGTGCTCCTTGTTCCCGCGCAGATCGAGTTTGTTTCCGATAATCGATCATTTACTCCGTTTCCAAGCAATCGATAAAAATCGATATCGATATCCTGTTTTTTGGGCAATTTTGGTAAATAATAAGAGCTAGAGTCACCAAACTTGACATAAAGCTTCTAAAATAGAATATATATATATACATTTGATGTTGGAAGAAGAGGGTTCAGGGTATCCCCTAGTCGGGAGCTTCCGACTAGAACCTTTTACTTGTTATATTTCTCTTATCTCTCCCCAATTTAAAAATATCGATCTCAATATTGAGATATGTTTTGTAAGGCATAACTAGAAGATAATATGGCGTAGATATACCCAACTTGGCTTAGAACTTCTCGAGTCGTATACGCAGTTCAAGAATATTGCACTTTTTGGATACCTTTTCTCATTTTTGTGCAGTCGCATGCTTGTACAGGCAGCTCGAGGCTGGATTCGGGATTCCATTCGGATCCCTTTTATTTTAATTTATGATAATAAAACTTATATTATTTGCCAATATCTAAAGAAATATGAGGGTTTCGGGTGGATTCAAGCCAGTTCCGATCAAAATCGGTTCGTAGCCTTTATCTGGATGTTATTTGTCCTGTCGGGCATAGAATTAATTGATTGAACAAGGACAACCATATTCAAAAAAATAAGTCCCAAGGCTCTGAACTGCTATGGCAGGTTAGCCTGCCCCAGCCTGCCCCAGTTGGCTGCACAAGACTTTGTGTTTCTGATTTTTTAGCAAGCAACTTTCATATTTTATTTTATTAAGCAAAAAGGAAATGTGCAAGTAAACAGGGACTGCAAACACACTTACACACACACACACACACACACACACATGCACACATATATAAATATACCCTCTCTCTAGTTGGGTATGTGCTCGGGCCAGGCCTACGCCCCTCACACTCCCCCTGGCAATGTCATATGAACGCCCCATTATTTACTTAACGTAAGTTAAACATTCGCCCACATCCTCCCCTTCGCACGAATTGCTTCTTTTGGGGCCGCGACTGCGGGCTGGGGTAACTCGGAGTACATGTTGGCAAAAAAATAATAAAATAAAATAATAAAGCCAAAAAGAAACAAACAGATATTCTCGTAAAGTGGAGCAAAAGTGAGGGGCAGCCGGAAGGCGGAAGGCGGCTGCTTGGCTAACCTTACCTGCCAGCAAAGCAGCCTAGTCAAAGAGCTGTCGTCGATGCTAAGCGCAAGTTGCCCCCTCCCCTCTCTCCGACTCATCGCTGCAGCCCCACTGACTGCCGGCACCCCCCACTTCATGAGTAGAGTAAACAAACCGCCATGAAATATGCAGCAGGCAGTCCGGGCAATGGCGAACAAAAAATGATTTATGTGGACGCCATGAAAAACAACGAACAACGAAAAACGAACAACCAACAGCAAAAATAACAATAACAACATCAACTGATTTCTCAACTTGGCTACAAGCCCGTGAGCTCCCTTTTTTTTTTATAAATATTTTCATTTGTTGTTTGGCCTAGCAATGAAAAATGCGCGATTCACTACAGAAAGGCATCTGTTCAGAGGAGGGCGGCGAAAATTTCGGATCTAAGATCGAAAACTAAGATCTAAAACTAAGAGCATAGCATAAGAAATAGTGATAGGTTTAATGTCGTTACCAAGTCTAGGAATTACCTGTAACACACCAAACTTATCTGATGAGTCAACCCCGTCATATCGATCAACTCATATGCACCTCCCAGCGGGCAGACTTAGCTAGACTAATATGACTCGGATGATTATATAAATATGACAATGTTATATAAGTTTGATCATGATGGCGTTAAGCTCCAAGAAACTGTTGCAGCGACTAATAAATCTGTGCGACCTTGTGTATCATGCCTAAATCAAGTTTATTACAAAAGAAAGTTTCTCTCATTTTTCCTGAAAATCAATAAGCACTGCGATGAGTCGGAGGAGGAAGTCATTTGTAGCTTCAAAGAACTTACATTCTCTTGATCGGGATTAACATCCGAGATAATCTAGCGAAATTTGCGTTCTTTGTACCCGATCACCATTTGCTGATGAAGATTTATACATACATATACATTTTAAAAGCTTTTGAGAATATCCTTGGAATTTTAAAAATAAGTCACACCTAATTCGGCAAATATTCTTGCACCAGATATCTACTATTTATCCAAAATATGTCCTAAAAAAATATCACCTCAAGTAACATCTTAGTTCTTTCAACCGATTCTACACCAAGTAACTTAGATAGAAAGTTTTGATCACAGCAGGAACTCGGTGAAATAATATAAATATCTGAATGTATTAAGCTACAAGTCTCACTTCCAAACAATATTACAATTATTATTAATTTTATAATTATTAATATTAACAATATTGTTATTATTATAATAAATATTATTATTAATATTGTTTACCCTAAACCAAACATTGCAAGATTTTTCTTCAAAAATGAGTGGATTTCAATAAAAATGGAAAAACTTAACCAACGATGGCTTTTCGCATATCTAAGACTAGCATATATTACCCGGCTTTGCTCGTGGCACGTTTTATGCCCAGTTTTAGCCTATAAAAAATGAACTATCTTGAAATTCATTCGAAAATATGTTTAAGGTCTATCGAATAAATTACTAAAAGTTAGAATCAATGGTATCCGCCAGAGTCAGTCTTGTCGTGACAGTCTTAAGTTTGAGAAGGATGGGACGCATTTATACGCTGTGCCCAAGAATTTGAAATGGATCTATTTGTCAATCAAAATGCCTTGCTTGAGCTGTCTTTGAACCGATGAGCTAGGCATATGGAAGTAGTTATGTGCCTGAGTAGAGTTTCGGTCCAAAATTTAGAAGCTTGTTAGGGGTGAGTTGATTCAACAATAATTAGTTATGAGTTCGGGTAAGGATACAAATTCGGCCTCAAATGAGAAGCTACAGAAAGGGTGCTCCACAGTAGGTGTCAGTAATTAGCCATATCCAACCATAGGAACGTAAGCTCGTACAACAAATAATGATTATACAAACTATACGCAGATGTCCGATGTCAATTGGGCTGCCTACAACGCTTTTCGCTGCGATCTGGCAAAAGTGCATAAGACTTTCAGTTGTTGCACTCAAACGGAGTTCACCGAGGAGGTTGGCACAATAACCGAGCTTTCGCTGGGCTGCAAATTCTTGGGCGGACCTGTGCCCCGGAAGATCTTGGCACCCGCCCGTCATAACAATGGAAAAGGTGAATAATCAAGAAATTGGTCAATCGCGCAGAGACACAGATCCATTGCCACAAAGTTCTTCGTCGACCCACCAGCAGGCTTGTCCCATCGAGTCCAAGAAGTCGATTAATATTTTGCTGGAAGAACGGGGAAAAAACGAGTTGCCGCGCAAAACCCAGTCGGACAGCAGCTTCCAGCACAGTCAGACCTCCTTGTTGAATCCGGCGAAACGCTTGCGGCGCACCAGCTCCGAACAATTAGCGAGAAGTCGAGTGGATCGAGTAAATCCTCCAGAACCTGATCTATCGCTGCCGGCAAGATGCAACAGCAGTGCCTGCACGATTGGAAGCGCAGAACTGACAGTAACTGACTCGCAATCCTCGGGATATACCACGGAAAGCAGCTACCAGACGGCCACGGCCGGCAGCAACTACAGCCTGAGCAGCACGTCCTACATCAGCCAGCAGCGGCCCTATCCGGGCAACTATCTACACGAAATCCATGTGGCCGTGGAGGCCAACACAACGGATGCACACGTCCAGGCCATACGCGACGACCTGCGCAACCTGCTTTGCAACGAGGTGGCACTCATTCACGAGGCATCCGGCGGGAACAGGCAAGCCATATATCTAATTGCCTATCAGTACATGTAGAGAGTGCGATTGTTTTTCAAATACAATTTCTAAATTTCTAGTCTCGCTTAACCACTTGCTGTACTCACTCCCGATCCTGATGGGCTTGGGCTTGGGCTGGTCCTGAGCTGCGCATCATTCGCTTGTTGACATTATGACAAATTACGTGCGCAAAAGGCAACAAAAGCCACCCCCGGAAGGATGTCGGAAGGAAACAACAAGCCAAAGCGATACGCTTAAGCATTAAGCATCGTAGGGTGCCGGGTAATATGGAGGGTGCCGGGTACCCTCAACGTTAATAGGAAAGCCACACAAGAACGGCTAACGAACGGCACGCGGCAGGCGGCGGGTCGCTCGGTCGGTCGCTCGGTCGGTCGAGTGAGCGACAAGTGCGCTAGCCCACAGTTGAGGGTTGTCCCGGGGCTGGGGTTGAGGGACTTGCGCTAGTCTCCGCGGAGTGGGTATGTTTGCCCAGTGCTAAGTGCACGGCCATAGGCAAGTGGAAATGACAAACATATTTACACAATTTTTGACAGGCCCAAACCAAATGCGATATATACGGTGCTTCACTTTCCGCTGGCAGCGCCAAGAAGTTGCGAACGGGTGAAACCGAACACCCGTGGGTGCAGCGAGCTTCCCTCAGTCGACGGAGCCCCTTACGCACAACAAACAGCAACCCAAACTCGATAAATATGTTTATGTGCAAATAACAAAATATTTGTCGATTGCCGGTTCTTGAATTGCTCAGGGCAGGCCGGCAGGCGGGATGGCAAAGGGACGGGGGGGAAGCCCCGCAGGCGCATAATTCAATTTTTCTGCTCGTTTTGCACGACGCTCGTCGAACGCCGCTCAACTCCACTGGGATGTGTCTCGTATATAGCTGGTTTGGTCGGGCTTGCCGGCACCGGAGCTGTATATTAACGACACGTGGCCTCGGCGACGGGCATATGCGGTTTTAGCACTGCCCTGTTATTTATTTGTTTGTAATTACGCGTGTACTAAACAAAATCCCGGCGTACTTGAAAACGCGCCCAGGTCCATCAACAATTGTTGTTGTTGTTGTTGTTGTTGTTGTTGTTGCTGCAGCCTTGTCTATGCTCTTTTCAATGCTGCAGCACGTGCACGAAATGGGCTGGGATTGGGACTCGAGGATCTCTGGTTATTCCCTGCGCATTAGCGACAATAGCGCTGTACGAAGTCTAAGCCATTTGGACATTGTCAACAATTTTTGGCTTCGACTTTGCCATTGTCTTGTCTGCACATATCTCCGACGACGACGACGACGACGGCGCGTGTCCTCCGTCCCGTCTGCCATTGTGTCAGTTGTCAACATTTTGGGCTGGCTTCTAGCTGCGGCCTTAGCTTGTCAATTGATTTGCGTGGGATCGCGAAACATGTGAAGCATGAATCAAAATCAAAATTGTGACAGGATTGGTAAGAAAAAGCACATAAGTCTTTCAGCCAGGGATTTGCCTTGCAAGAGAAAACAGTCGAGAAAGAGAATGTGTCGATTTTAGCTGGGGATAGAATGAAATTTTACGCTTAGGCAATGCGAGTATAAAGGGAATAATAAATTTCCTTGGCGAGCGTGCCCGACTAGCTGATACCTGGTCTTTAAAAAACAAAAATATTTTTAAATATATTCTGCATTTAACTTGGCTTCAAATTAAGGAAGCTCTCAAAATTGAATTTGCCTTTGATTTAATGGTCTCCAACTAAGGACAAGCATGGGCTGAACTTTCGAATAACTTAACTAATCGGGATTCGCTGGTACAATTTTCTTACCTTTACAGGTAAGATAAAGAATAAACGTGCATGCTGCATCCATTTCGACAATTTCTTTGTGCCTACGCTTTTCTGTGGATACAGCTTATAATAATAATTAAAGACTAAGCCCTTGTTTTAATTTCTGCCATTATATTATTAATTTCAGTTGCCACAAGAGTTATTGTGGCAAGGGTAAGCAGTTGTGGCTAATTGAAAAACACTTGGCTTTCAAATGGAAAGGCTGAGCCTTAAGTCGGGCCAACCGCATTCCGCACCTGCCACAGGTGCTGGCCTGCACACAAGCATGCACATGATTCGCTTTCAACGGCGCTCAATCAAAACAACTCCCTAACCACACCCAGATATGGGAACATACAGCCACCCACAACGAGTGAAATCAGCAAAACAACAGCGAAAAACTTTGCATAATTAAAGGCATAAATAAATAACGGTCAGCTAGTTGCAGAGAGCAGCTAAAAAATATTAGACGAGCAGAAATCAAGCAGGACAGCTGCAGTGCCATGGGCGAGGCGGACTGCGACTTGGCCTGGCCACGGAGAACTGGGACCTGTGAACCGTGGCCCTTTGTACTCACCCTCAAGCGCTCGATTCCTTGAAATTAAAGCAAGCACAAACTCTGGATTTGGGTCATCATGGTCGACAGGCAACGCGCCGACACCGACACCGACACCGACTCCAGCACCGACTCCGAGTGCAGCATGCTGATGATGATTGTGCTGACCAGCGAGCAGGTGCGATGCCTGCGGCGTGGCTGGCAATTGTTGCTGCTGCTGCTGCTGATGAATGTGCTGCTGCTGATGGTGGTGATTATCCATGACTGACAGATGCTGCTGCAGTTGCTGTGACTGAGGCTGAGCCTGGTGCTGGTGCTGGTGCTGATGATGATGTGGATGCTGATGTTGATGCAGTGGCGGTGGCGGTTTCAGAGTTTGCATCATCTCTAAGGCCAGTTGCATGCACGCTCACAACAACAACCGCAGCTAATAATTGTCGGAATTTATAATCTTCTTTTTCGTATGTACGTTGATTGGGCGGATCGTCACACGTGTCGTATGCGCATTAATTGCAGTTAATATGACACTTGCTAGCAGGCACTTTCCCGTCAAATTGGCGCACAATATAAACGGCAGATCAGTTGGATCAGCTTGCCTGCATTTGAGAAATATATTTCACAATACTAACTATATTAACTATAAAACATATATTTTCTTTAGTCACACACACACATATCGGCTAGCGATCCAACCTTTTGTGCCCCGGCCTGCCAAAAAGACGCAAATGTTTAGTCACGCGGCGCAGATTTCTATTTTTTTCAACTTGTAAGGCAGACGGCACTGCCTATAGATAGAGCAAGATTGGATCGCCGGTTAGTTGGTTGGCTGGTTGCTTGGCTGGTTATTGGGTGGTTGGTAAGTTGACTGTTTCAGAACTGGCACTGGCACTGGCACCGTGTAAAGCGCCGCCGCCGCCGTCGCTTGCCTCGGTTTCCGACGCACCGATGTTTCTTATCAGACACGCGGCGGTTTCTTTGGTTTCGGTACTTCGGTTCGATTGTGCGAGTGTGCGAGTGTGCGAGTGTACGAGTGTACGAGTGTACGAGTGTGTGCCTGTGCTCTTCGCGACGTTGTGCATTAGACTATACTCGTTGCCCTTCTATATCAATTTCGACTCATATAGTACTACCTTCAAGTGTCTACAATAACAATTTCAATATATATAGTATATAAAAAACGTGCATACCGAGTGTCTGTGGGTTGTTCCTCTATAATGTAGGGTGCATGTTTTTAAGAGCTGAGCACACAATACGAGCAATGCCTATCTGTTTGTTACATAATTATATGCATCAATACGCAAGAATCTGGCTACCGAAATTGTAACAAAGTAACAAGGTCTTGAAATTTCAAAAAATTAAAAGATACAACAAGCAAATGAATGAATGGGACAAATGAATCTCTCTCTGGCAAAAGCTACTAATCAACACTTTTGCATTTTTATAAGAATTTCACAACATTTTTTAAACGCATTAGCTTATGCGAATTTTCGTATTATTCAAATTTATAATTTCCTTGTAGGCTGCTTGCATTTCACTTCAATACATTTCAATATTCACTCGAACGCCATTTTGCGACGGCAATTGGCAAAGCGACGGCAAGCTTCAACAAAATGGCGGCGGCGTCGGCGGCGACGGCTAAACGGACACGGCAAGCACGACACGAGACGGCATGACAGTGCATGGCTTGGCAACACTGGCGAAAGCTGACGGCCGCCTGCTGCGTTGTTTGTGAGGTTTTTTTTTTTTTGCTGCTGCTATTTGTGGCACTCGGTCTGCATTTTTTGCGCACTTTTTGACGCTTTTGTTGCCGTTGTTGCTGCTCCTGCATCTGCGACTCGCGTTATTGTTGCAGCTCTTGTTGTTGTGTGAGCTTTTTTATTTGACTTTTACGATACTTTTTATGCCGTTTGCCTTTTTGTGTGCACACTCTAGCTGGCGTGTGTGTGTGTATGTGTGTGTTTACCAATTGATCTTAATGTGACACAAATGATATGGTAAAATGCAGGCTGCCAGGCTAGCAAGCAACACAACAATGGCGACGGCGACGGCGACAGCGACAGAGACAGCGACGTCGTCGACATTTTTATACTGTTTTTAGTATGCGCTATGTTATGCCTAACTTTGCTGCCCCTGCCCTGTCCACCAGTTGGCAGCTACCATTTCCTTTCCCATAACTAATTCTATACCTATCCCGTTCCGTTTCCGTTCTTGTGCTTGCTCGCTAGGCGGCGGCATTACAATATTTTGTGAAACCTAAAAGTTTAGCAAAAGTTTTTCTCTTAAGAATTTCGAGTAATAACTGCAAAAAAGCACTGCGATGTCGGCAGCAGCGGCAGCAGCAGCAGCAGCAATAACAACAACAACACAAACACCAACAACAAGAGCAGAAATGAGCCAACGCCTGGCGACACCTTCGCTGTGGCCCCAAAACAACAGTCAACAGCACTTAAAAGTCAGCGTCGGCAATGGCATAGCACAAATATGAGAAACTTAACTCAAAAGTCCAAGTCAATACGCGCGGTCAACAGAAAAAGAAGAAAAAAAAACCAAAAACGAAGGCAAAGAACAACAACAACTGCGAGAGAAGTTTGCCTGGCTTCCAGGGCGAAGCAAGCGCCGCCCCTTTATATTGAAAACATTGGAAATCGTTGATAACAATAAGAACAACAACAGTAAATGCCCCGCCGGAGTTCGCATTTTAGTCATGCGCGAGAATCAGTTATCTTATCGCCTGCGACGCCATTAAACTGGAACGCGACTGGGCGGGGTGAGCAGGGTGTCTGTTCAAGGGTTAAAGCCATTCCAGCGGCTGCGCCGTGCAGCATGCGCAGAGAGGCAAAGCAGTCAATCATTTTCTAGCTAGCTAGAGTCACCCTGTGCGGCATTGGTGTAAATACCCTGTTCGTGTTGAAAGCGTCAAATAGTGTATTTCTGTGTGAAATTGCAAGCGAAAAGATATAGAAAAATAAATCGACAAACTAACTATCTTTGCTTATCAATTGTAAGCAATTCATTTAGCTTATCAGATACTCTACTAATTTAAGACAAACTAATTTAGTATAGGGTATTTGGAAGTGTGCTATCTTATTTGTTTTAGCATGCTTTCTGTTGTCTGTGTAGTTTTACAAAATTGGGCGCTTCCTTGTGGATATCCTACCGCCCAACCGTCTGCTTGGCATTTTGTTTTCGCATTTATTTATGAGCCGCTTAGAGAACGGCAAGCGCTTTGAACCTTACAGGACTAAGACCCCAAACCACAATTACGGACTTTGGCGGAGGACAACAGCTGGTGGCCATATCATGGCCAAGAGAACGCCGTTCAATATATGGATATTATGAAGCTATTAATACGAGGGTTACACAATGCCTACGTTTATTACATGAAGCAAATCATGAATTGATAAAGTCGCCAGGATCTTGAAATAATAATAAAATATTTAGCATATAGGAAATGTATCGAAATAAACAATTGATTGTTGGCCAAAGATTCCCGTGCATGCTAAATAATTCGATAATTTATGTATGTATTGATATTTAATTTAAAATTATAAAAGAAGACACACAATATTAGTCGAGATGATCCTAAAAATAAACAAGTTTGTCATGCAAGAACTTCATACTTGATTGATTGGCAAAGATTCGTGAGAATAACTGAAGAACTAAGCTAGAGGGACATATCTATATCGACTCGGCTATTGATGCTAATCAAGAATTTACTCATTTACTCAGTTATTAAAATAAAAGAAATCATCAGAATTTCGCGTTTCTCATGCATACTATGTGCAAGGTCAGGTGTTTAATGAGCTCTGCTCTCATAGTCAGAGCTTCCTATAAAATTATTGGGCACAAATGTTTTGTTAGCAACGGAACCGAATTGGAGCGTGACCCTGAAATTTGTAAGGCAAGCAACATCAGCGCAGAATTGTGAAATTCAGTGAACGGTCCGGTCCGGTCCGGTCCAATCGACCCAACGCTGCACGGGCACACGGCCAATCCGATGATGATGATGATGATGATCATGATAATGATGATGCACTCCCAGCTCGAGCTGCGCTTACAAAATCGACAAATCCAGTCGATAGACATGACTGTGACTTTCAAATTTCGTGCACGGTCGCATGACTGGGCGGAACTGGACAACAGGTAACAGGTAGCAGGTAGCATGTAGCAGTAATAAAGCTGGAAAATGTTATGCATCTCCAACCATTTGGAGGGATTTTTGCCAAAGTGACAACAGGCAAGCCAAGGTAATAGTTATTATAAACCGGATTGTAACAACAATGGATCATCCATTAGCTGCATTGAGAGAAATGCCAGATTGAGAAAGACAAGATCACGTTTATCAGAACCATGCAAAGGTACTAAAAATATCTGATTTTCAACAGTTCATATTTCTTATTTATACATTTATTATTTATCTTACTGTTTTTTTTGTTTTATTAAAGTTAAGCTCACATAAATAATTCGCGGCCCTAAAGTCAATATTATTTAATATATTTCCCTGATTTGCGTGTAAGCTCCCAGTTTTCGTAATTTATATATTTATTATTTATATAACTGTTTTTTTTTTAATATCTTAAAATTAAACTCATATAATTAAAGCTTAATATTATTTCGTATAAAATTTCGCCGTCTGATTTGCATACAAAGCCACAGTTTTCTTTCAGTGTAGTCGCTTTATTAGACAATTAAACGCATTTCATTAAAATTTCTTCGACGATTTTCACGCTTTTATTTTGTATCTTGTTTATTTTTTTTTCATTTTTATTTTGATATTACGCTATGAACGGTCTTAATGTCGTTTCTGAACGCCGTCAGAGTTACATAAATCTCGCCAATGGTATCCAAAACTTGCTGGCTGTGCACATTTTTACACATATCGCATGTAAGTCTGTGGGGTTGTCTGTTCGCTCTTCAAGTATTGTTTGAAAGTTTTTACTGCCTAAAACAGCTCACACAAAGCGTTGGATTTAAAGCGCTTATCGAGGCTTTGACATGTCGCAGCGAGTTCATTTGTAGATCCGAATGTCAACGGTGAACAAGTGCAAAAGTCAGACGACGACGCAGCGCACCACGACAGATCGCCATTGCCATAGATATATGTATATATAGATAAATAGATAGTTTACCACAGATCTCCAAGGCAGGATATACCATATAACTAATCGTGTTCGGTGTTCTCTTGATTAAAATGGACTTTGGCGAGTTTCGCGAGTTTGGACACGCCTCGATTGAGTTTATTATCAACTACTTGAGCAACATACGTGACAGGTGTGTGTGTGTGTGTGTGTGTGTGTGCGTTTTTAGTCATTTTCCAACCAATATCACTCGCTGCCTCCACAGAAATGTGCTATCCAATGTGGTGCCCCACGAAGTCATCAACCAGCTGCCCAGACAGATACCAGAGCAACCGGAGCACTGGCGGCAAGTTCTCGACGACCTGGAGCATATTATTTTGCCTGGATTGACCCATTGGCAATCGCCATACTTCAATGCCTTCTATCCGTCGTCGACATCGGCTGGTTCCATAATAGGCGAGCTTCTCATAGCAGGAATCGGAGTCTTGGGATTCAGTTGGGTAAGTCTTAATCTACAAATTCAGCAGCAGATATCCAGCCCAATTCAAGAAAAACTAGAAACTATTTAAGCCGAAACTAATTTTAGAAATGAAGTGGGTTACGTCTAAATTATGTGAATATCTTTTACATGACAGAATTGTTTTGCTAGGAGTGCTGGGCTCAGTATTATAAAAAGTGCTCAAATCTTTAATTGCCTGTTTTCGTATATATACACCTATGGTCAAAAGAATAGGTACACTACTCAATGTGTGCATATAAGCCCCCAAAAATTACACAAAAATAAATCATTTTAAATAATCTGAGAGCCTATATGAATGGCAATCTTCAGCAGCAGCAATCTAGTCCATCTATGATGCTTTTTGAGTAATTTTGCCATTTTGTTTATCTTAAAGGGCTTAGGAGAACTTGTATGCCCAAACTCTGTATCTAGCTCTTGTTCTCAATGTGAGTTTTTCTTTGCTCAACAATCTTGCATTCATTTTATATTATTGCCAATACTATATATTTATATATAACAGCTAAATAATTTACTTAGTATTATAAAATGCAATATATAATGAAATATGTATGCTCTTTACTTTTAACAATAACTTAAGACCGCAAATTTGGAATTTAACTTTATTAGCTACAGAACTTTTCAAGTTGTGTATTTACCATATTTTTAATGCATATATATATTATTATATTACACATGCTTGTCTTTTAAATTTTACTTATATATAATCAGCTTTTTAATATAACTCATAAATGGGACATATTTTAGATAACAAGTAGCAGGTATTACTTAGCCTGCCTGGGTTCAAGCTATTTGCCTGAAATTTTGACATAATTTGCCTGTGGAAAATTTAAATAAACTTGTACTGTCTTGAACTCCACGAGCATAGGACTATTTTTCATAAATAAATATTTTTAATAAATGAGTTTTAAGTCGATTTAGCACCAAAATTTTGAGTCAACGTTTGTCGCCCATTTTACTCAAGAGATGAAAAGTTTTAAGCCTATAAATGAACTTTTGTTCATAAATTATGATAATAAATGAGGATGAATTTTGAAAAATATCTTTAAAAACGGCAATTTTCGGCACTTTTTCATTAAAATTATTTTAAGGCTTTGCAAATAAGTTTGAAGCTTATTTTGTAACCAGGAAAAGGGAATTTAGCGGAAAGTGTGAAGCAGTTTTTATAAAGATCCTTGAAATGGAATTTGAGTGTTTAAGTCCTTAGCCAACATTTTCTCGAAGAAAGTATGGATTGTCCCAAAAGTTGAAGCTGATCGAATTTTAAACAGAAAATTTGCCTATATATTTCTGGAATTTCCCAGAACACGCTTTTACAAGAGTCTTTTAGTAGCTTCTTAGACCCAACAGTTTGGCCTGTGCATTGATCGCCAATCACCAATCCAATTAGTTAGTCAGTCAGTATAGCTCCAATATTTGATTGTTTAGGCTATAGCAAAATAATCAGATTTTCTGCAGCTGCACTCTTTTTTTGCCAAGGAACAAGAGTATTAAAATGCGAAACGAATAATGTAATAACAGTTAATTATTTGACGAGAAGAGTTTCCATGAAACTTAAGTTTCATATAGTATGTAATTTAATGCAATATATTATCTATTTTTCGAAAGCGCCAACGAAGAGAAGAGCAAAGCTTTAAGAGCAAATGCAAGAGAAATCTGTTGGGAACAGTTTTTATAAGCTGTGAAATACTGTTCCCAATTTCGAAGTGAAATAAGCTCGCAGTTTTTAGTTGAAAACCCAATTCTTTAGGTTGATTTTTGCTAATTTCGAGCAAATCAAATGGAAAGCCTAACGAGTATTATATGGAAACCTTTGTTGATATTATATATTTATTTAAACAATTTGGCCAAAGGCAAGAGAAACCTGTTGAAAACATTAACGAACATTTGTTATTAAAAAAATTGTTTGGCATTTGTTTTATGCATATTTTTGATGCTAAAGCTTAATAGATAACCTATTACTATATTATTATATAATAAAAAAAGGCGTTTATAAATTTATGTATTTGCTTACTTTTAAATATGAAAGTCAAAGCTAGTAGAAATTACTGGACTTAACAAAAGTCGAGAACAGTTGTTCGATTTTAAATATAAAATAACTTATTTTTTTCGAATTGTTTTGTGGTTCCTTATTTATTCAAGTGAATATTGATATTATGAATTTACCTACATTTAAATTAAAGTGGAGACGTAGTCTTTTTAATTCTATATAATTAGAAAGGGGATTACTGCCTAATTACATTGGCCCGACACATGCATATTAGCAATTATTTTATAAGACAATTAGACTTAACACTGGACCCAGCCCAGAACTATTTGATGGCATTAGGTAAGCGGCATTTAAGAGTCGCAACAACGGAGACTGACCGGAGATTGGGCTTTGCAACTGACTCTTGCTCTGGGCTCGCCTCCAGCTGTGATCGCGGGCTATAAAAGGCGCCTCGCACGCGTCGCGCGACATCAGAGTGAACGCCAGGTGCGCGAGAGCAACACATCGAACAGACAGGCCGACAACAACAGGTGGCCAGGGAACTTTGTAAACAAACAGAGAAGACAAACAATACGTGAACAGTACAAATAGAAACGCTTTCAAAACAGCGACTACAACGGAGATTGAAACCGAAACACGAAAACGTGAACGCATTGCAAAATGGATGCCAAAGAGTTTCGCGAGTTTGGCAAAGCAGCCGTTGACTATGTGGCCGACTATCTGGAGAATATACGCGAGAATGATGTACTGCCCTCGGTGGATCCGGGCTATCTGCTGCAGCTGCTGCCCAAGCAGATGCCCGAGGCGCCCGAGGCTTGGCGTGAGATACTAACAGACATCGATCGCGTGATCAGGCCCGGCATCACCCATTGGCAGTCTCCAAACATGCACGCCTACTATCCCACCAGCGTGTCCTATCCATCGATAGTGGGCGAGTTACTGGCCAGCGGCATTGGCATCATTGGCTTCAGTTGGGTACGTGCAGGTGAAATCTCAGACACGGGTCCATTGTCCAATCGAGCTGAATGCAAGCCCTTTGTCTTCGGTCTGGGCAAGTGAAAGCGACGACTCCAAAAGAACTTGACAAACAGGTTGTTAAGTCGCCAACGAGGCGAATCAAAGAGACAGGGACTGGGTCAAGCTTTATAGAATTGTCTTTGCTCATTAAATTTATTGGTTAAGAAACAATACGACATATTATTTTTCGTTACAGATATGCAGCCCGGCTTGCACGGAGCTGGAAGTGGTTGTCATGGACTGGCTGGCCAAATTTCTAAAGCTGCCCAGCCATTTTCTGCACGAGGCCGAGGGTCCCGGCGGCGGCGTCATTCAGGGTTCCGCCAGCGAGGCTGTGCTGGTCGCCGTTCTGGCGGCGCGTGAACAGGCCGTGCGCCGGGAGCGCGAGTGTCATCCGGAGCAGAGCGAGAGCGAAATACGCGGCAAACTAATTGCCTATTCATCGGATCAGAGCAACAGCTGCATTGAGAAGGCGGGCGTGTTGGCGGCCATGCCGATCAAATTGCTGCCGGCCGGCGAAGATCTGGTGTTGCGCGGCGCCGCACTGAAGGAGGCCATCGAACGAGATGTGGCCGCCGGCCTCATACCAGTCATCTGCGTAGCCACGCTGGGCACGACGGGCACGTGCGCCTACGATGACATTGAATCGCTCAGCAGCATCTGCGAGCAGCACCAGGTGTGGCTGCATGTGGATGCGGCATACGCTGGCGGCGCATTCGCCCTGGACGAGTGCGCTGAACTGCGTCGCGGTCTGGATCGCGTGGACTCACTGAACTTTAATTTGCATAAATTTATGCTTGTCAATTTTGACTGCTCGGCGATGTGGCTGCGCGACGCCAACAAGGTAATTGACAGCTTCAATGTGGATCGCATCTACCTGAAGCACAAGCATGAGGGTCAGACGCAGATTCCGGACTTTCGCCACTGGCAGATTCCGCTGGGTCGCCGCTTCCGTGCGCTCAAGGTGTGGATAACATTCCGCACTCTGGGCGCTGAGGGTCTCCGCGCACACATGCGCAAGCACATTGATTTGGCTATCCAGTTCGAAAATCTGGTGAAGGCTGACGAACGTTTTGAGGTGGTTGCTCCACGCGCCCTAGGACTGGTTTGCTTCCGGGCAAAGGGTGATAATGAATTAACGTCACAGTTGCTACAACGTTTGATGGAGCGCAAAAAAATTTACATGGTCAAGGCAGAACATCGTGGCCAGCTGTTTCTGCGATTTGTTGTATGTGGCATGGATCCCAAGCCATCGGACATTCAGTTCGCCTGGACGGAGATTGAGACACAGCTGACATCACTCTGTGCTGAGCAACAGCTAAATGCGCGCAAGGCTGGGGAACTATCAGAGCTAACGCATCATTTAAGTGGGCTGCATCTAACAAATGAAACGCTGCAGCGCTAGTCGAATATACAGTAATATTGCAATTAAAAAATACTTAATCGATATTAATGGCATTGTAACAAGTAGATAAGAAATAAATAAAATAAATCAATCATACAAATAAAAGAAGAACCTATAAAATATTACGAATTTGCAAATAATTACGTTTTCAAATTTTTCACCAGCACTATTTCAGTTTTACCGCCATTCAAACAGTGTGCGAAAGTCCAGCTAGTATCGATATACGTTATCGGCATGTGTATGCGATATTGGGCAACAATCGCAAACAATGCTGCCAGACTGCAGACATAAACAGCTGTTTCACCTCGCCTCCATTGGTGAATGGTGAACACAAAATACACTTCTTATTGAAGAAACATATATTCCTTGTGTACATATGCATTTTGCAGACATTTGCCCATATAGTTTAGTGTGCATAAAGATTTATGAGGCATTTATGCATAACAAGTTTTGTGATCAAACGACGCGTTAAAAAGTCGTTGACACGTATTTATAATAGCATCGACAAGGGTATTTGAAAACATAACTAAATGAGACATTTTTGTTGTCAACACAAAACTTTGAACTTACGTACACAAATCGAAATTTCACAGTTTCTGCAAAATAAACAAAAACTGATCAAGCCTGTTGAGACTTTGACATGCAATGGTAAGTGAAAATGTTGTTGCTGTCGTAGAAACAAATCCTTAAGAATTGCCTCCCTGCCCTCACTGTGGCGCCCGATTAGTTATGTATAAACTAGCCACCAGGCGCAGCTTATACAACGCAGCGGCACTTAAAGCAGAGCTCACCGGGTTGCAGCACCATGGAGGCCACTTTGATTTCAACCACAACTTGGAGTCGGCCAAGCGGAATGCACAGATTGTGATCATTGGCGGTGGACTGGCGGGCTTGTCAGCGGCAAAGCATCTACTTGCAAATGGATTTCATAGCACTCTCGTGCTGGAGGCTACGGAGCGTTATGGCGGTCGCATTAATTCGAAGCGCTTCGGGGACACATTCTGCGAGCTGGGCGCAAAATGGGTCAACATTAACGGCTCGCACGACTCCATGTACGAGCTGTTACGCAATGCCGAAGGCCTGACAAAGCAGCTGAAGCAGGCGACGCCCGTTCGATATGTGCACGCAGCGGGTCAAGGAGAACAGAGTAAGGTGCCCTCTGGCATGGTTGAATTGATAGACCAGCTTTTTCGAGACTTGTGTCGCGGCTTCAAGGTGCGCGACAAGGTAAAGAGTGGGGGCGATCTGCACTCGTTGGACAATGTTATGAGCTACTTTCAGTCGGAGAGCGACAAGCTTATAAGCAGTTCTTTTAAGCATCCCGACGAGCAGGCAATGGCACGCGAGATTTTTCAATCGCTCTTCAAGGATTTCAGCAGCATACTGGGCTGCTGTCTGGAGTATGTTAACATCCAGCACATTACTACCTGCCCACTGGAGCAGGAAACGAATCCCATTTATGTGCCCACGGGCCTGGACAACATCGTAAATGCACTCACTCACGATTTGGAAAAGCATCAGCTACAAATGGGTAAACCTGTTGGCAAGATCCAATGGAAGACGCCAACAGAAGCTCAATTTGTGGGCTGCTTGGATGGCAGTCTGTATCATGCCGATCACATCATTAGTACGCTGCCTTTGGGCGTGCTCAAGAACTTTTCCGCAATACTGTTTAAGCCGATGCTCCCACTGGATAAACTACAGGCCATACATAATCTGGGCTTTGGCAATCCAGTCAAAATCTATCTCTCCTACAAACGGCCCATTAGTCGCTGGCTCAAGTCCAACCTTCGCCCATTGAGTCCGCTGACGCAACCAAATCCAAGCGCACCCAATGAAGCGACCAACTCGAATCCGAAGCGCAGCTGGACGCGACAGGTTGTGGAAATATCTCAACTGCCTAGTAGCCAGCACGTTCTAGAAATACGAGTTGGTGGCGGCTACTACGACGAAATTGAGAAGCTGCCCGATGCGACGCTGCTAGAGCAGATCACAATGCTGTTGCGCCGGTGCCTGAGCAATGAGCTAGTTCCCTATCCGCAGGCCATGTTACGCTCCAACTGGAACAGCTCCGCGTGCTTTCTGGGCGGCCGGCCCTACTTCTCCGTCAACAGCAGCGCCCGTGATGTGCAATGCTTGGCGGCGCCTCTGGGCGATGCCGAGCCAACTCTGCTCTTTGCTGGCGATGCGACTGCCCTGCATGGCTTCGGCACGATAGATGGAGCGCGGTCCAGTGGAATACGCGAGGCGCAGCGCATAATTGACTTTTATCACAAGAAGCATGGCGTATAATCTCACACTCGTAGTTAAATGCTCGTTTAAAAAAAGGATCCTAGTCAAAATTCATAGTTACAAAAGTATTGGTTAAATAGTAATTAATTAAGCACATTTATTAAATACGAGTAGCATGTAAAAACAACAATAACGATTTTTGATTATTAAGCCCGTTCCGCATTTCACTTTCGCTTGCATTTGGTCCATTGGATATATTAAGATAACTGGTCGAAAGTGTAATCGAGAACGGGTCTTTATGATTGGAACTGGGAGTAGGAGGTGAGTATTCAATGCTAAAATTCCCTAAACATGTCACTTCTGATGCATATTTCTGATGCTGTTCACTTCTTGTCCGCCGCCTCGCTCAGCTCCAACTCATCGGCTGCAGCGCTGACTTCTTTCCAGGAGTACTCCATGTCCTCGGACTGTGTAAAACGCGAGCAGACAGCCATGCGCAAGAAGTAAACGTCGCGTATCTTGGCTGGCACCATGTGTATGTTGCCACGTCCATTGATCCGTTTCAGCAGCGCTTCGTTGCGCTCGTTGGTGCCCTTCAGACGGAAGCAGACTAGGCCCATGTTCACCTCGGCGGCCAGCTCAAAGCGTTTGTCCTGCACGCACAGATCCCCAAACTGTTTGGCAAAGCCGCAGTGGCGTCTGATGTGCGCCTGGAGGTTCTCGACGCCGTACAGACGCAGAACAAACCAGAGCTTAAGGGCTCGGAATCGGCGACCTAGCGGGATTTGCCAGTGACGGTAGTCAGGCGCTGAGCCCTGCATGTCGTGCTTCAGGTAGAGCGGATCCACGTTAAATGCGTTGACCACCCAGCTGGGATCCTTTAGCCACATGGCGGAGCAGTCAAAGTTGACCAGCATCCATTTGTGTGGATTAAAGTTGAACGAGTCCGCTTTCTCCATGCCCTTCATGTGATGACGATATTCCGGACATATAAAAGCGGATCCGGCGTAAGCCGCATCGACATGCAGCCACACATTGTGCTTATTGGCCACAGGACCGCACTCGTCCAAGCGATCGAAGGCGCACGAGTTTGTCGTGCCCAATGTGACGACCGCGTAGAAAGGTATCAGACCATCAGCCAAATCTTCTTCAATAGCCTTCTCCAAGGCATCGCCGCGTAGACGATTGTTCTCATCCGCCGGAACTGAGCGCAACTTGATGCCACCCAAGAGACCAGCCCGCTCCACGGACGAATGTGACTGGGCAGAGGCATAGCCCACCAGCTTGCCAATTATCGTGTGATCATCCCACTCAGGATGCTTAGCCTTCACCTCCTGCAGCTTCTTGGCTTTTGCCCCAAGTAGCGCCACCAAGGTCGACTCGCTGGCCGTTCCTTGTATGACGCCGCCGCCTTTGCCGCCCGAACAGGCCAAAAACTCCGAGGGCAAGTCGATCATCTTGCCCAGCCAATCAAGCATGACCACCTCCAGCTCAGTGCAGGCTGGACTAGCTATCCAAGTAAATCCAATGCAAGCAATCGCTCCGCTCAACATATCTGCCACAATCGCCGGATAGGAGTTGGCCGTCGGAAAATAGGCATGAAACTTGGGGCTGTGCCAGTGTGTCACGCCGGGCATGATGACCCGCTCAATGTCCTTCATAACATCCTGCCAGTCCTCTGGCTTCTCTGGCGCCGCATCCGGTATCAATGGCTGCAAGTAGCCCGGCTTAACCTCGGGCAAAACTCGCCTGCAAGCACAAAATCAACAACAATTAGATTAGAAATCTTATTAGCAGCCATTCAAAAACTTCACAAAGCGCGCTGCAAATTAGATTCCAGCCTTGGCCCAACCCCACAAAGTAACAGTCGCAACTTGTTGCCAGTGGATAGAAAATCAATATTTGCGGGCGAAAGACGAGTATCCATGCTAAAGGAATACATTCGCGACCCATCGAAATATCTATCTATATATATGTATGCATACATTTTTCCTTATACTATGCTTGCGCTGACTACAGCATTAGATGATTAACTATATAATACAGCTTATTAAAAATGACAACTATCCACAAAATTAACAAATTGAAATCAGATCCTAATCTGGTTTATGGAATTGCATCAGGACCAACAAATAATATGGTATGTATAAAAAGAAGTTTTTATGTTTGCAGCTGCGCTGTGTACAGGGTATCTCCTAGTCGTTCATTCTTCAGTAGAGCTCTCTTGATTGCTTACCCTGATTATATTCGACTGAATATTATTTGGATTACAAAAGAGATTAATTTAGAAAACTGCCTTAGGAGCAGAACCTTTAGAAAACAGAATACCATAAAATCCAATTAATTAGTATTTAAATGTAAAAAATAACTTCTCATTAAAATGTATATAAAAAAACCTTCTTAAAGATATGCGAAGAAACTTAAAACAATGTTTACCCTAAATATTGTAATAATTTGCTATGAAATATGATTTTTGATTTTTGATTTGGACGACTTTTAAGCACACATTCAAAATAATTCGCAACAATTAATGCAATTGTAGATTAGATTAGTATTCGTATTATTATTAGCTAGATTTCTAAAAGGTTAACAACAACAAAAATTGTATTTTTACGACTGGAGCTCTTTTAGTTCCAAGGCAACACACTTTGAATTGTTTCAAGAACAATGTGCAGCTCGGAACTAGTTGAAGGTAAATAATAATGTCGACCTTGACACGCCAACTAACAGTTAAAAACCTTATAATGTTGTAATTAATAAGCTGCAATCACAAAACTGGCACTGGCAAACTTGTGAAAGGTCTCCACAGCTGAGCTGAGCTGGAAGGCCGAAACGGCAAATGAATCTGGCCGAGACTTTCCCAAGCCTCAATATTCAGATACTCTATCGAAAAGTCATTCTCATGCGGAACTTGGAAGAGAACGCGTGCCCAACTGTGGGTCAATCAGAACGAACTTTCAAATTGAGTTCGTGCTACTCTGAGGTCAGTTCATGTTAATAAACCTCAGATACAGATACTTCAACTGGCCATATATGTATGTACATTCCGGGTCTCAAATTAAATTAAATTTTTATTCACTTATGACACACACGCACCTGTCTCGTATGTTTTCCAGGTAATCGGCTATATAATCGACCATCGATTTGGCAAAATCTTTGAACTCGGGCGCCTCCATATCGATCTGTAAGTGTTAAGGCGATTCACATTAATTAGGGCCATAAACTAATTAAATCTACACATTCTAAAATAAGAAACAACAACTCACCGAATCCAGTTTATCTGTCACCACAGGGTTAGCTTTGGATATACCCTTACTTAAATGGGGCATGTTAGTATTAGTGGAAGCTTTGCTCATTACCAATGAATAATGAGTATTGCGTGGAATGCTGTCTTAGTTATTAATGAGTCGAATGCAAAGTAGTACAAGTTTCAAAATGTTAATATGAATAGCTAATGTTATTTACATAAGTTTTGTCGAGACACTTTTACGTGTGTTCACTGTACACAACAAGGGCAGATAATGCTAATCAGCTTGTGAGGTGTCTAATGAGACTCATACACTACGAGTATGCACTAATAAATTAAATCTAATTAAACAAAATAAATTATAAATAAAAAAAATATATATATTCTTTAATATTACTTCTGTTTTCTTATTAAAAGGGGATTTTATATATTCTACAGTAAATTGTTCTATTTTTAATAGCATTTAATTTCGATTTAGTACTTTCTAAATTTAGCAACAATTTGTTGTATTTATGTACTAAAATGTTAATTTTTTAGTAATTGGTTGTTTTTGCAAATGTAAGCTGTGTAAAATGTAAAGTTTATTTAATTTGGCTAATTTCGAGCTTATTCAAAGGCACTTTTAAAACCGTCTGTGACGAAAACAAGTCGACAAAGCTGTTTGGCATTGACTGGCTCTACTCTACCTCTACTCAAAAATCAAAAAATAAAAAAAAAAGACAAGTTGTAGAAACGAGACCAGAACCAGCCAAAAATTGATAAGATTGTTATGGAATGTTGAAGCTCAGAAAATTAGTCGAATTTAAATTTGAGTTAAAGCAAATCCTAAAGAAAGGTCACTTGACAATATTACGTATACGCCCAGTGTTTCACTGCGATTATTGAGTATGTTTTAAAGCACATTAATTGTTTAAATATGCCCAAGAGGCACACGCATGTCGACACACACACACACACACACACACACACACTCACCTTACTGTGCACTTAAGTTGACTACTTTTAATTATTTGCACTTTTCGCCGTGAATGTGTCGCTTAGTTACGTTCCGTTCCGTTTCGTTTTCTTTTGTTTTTGTTTCGGCTGCTGTTTTATTAGTTCTTAGTGTATTTAGTCAAGCTGTGCCCGCTCCGGCATCCGTTAGCCAACTGAGTGCTGGTCGCCGTTCGGGCGGGGCTTTTAAAGCATCGCCTCGTTGGAGCTGCGAGCTGCGAGCTCCGAGAGCAGCCGCAGGACCGGTTCACCTGCTACCCTCGGCTCATCGAAATCGGCAATCGCTGAACTGAAACTGTGGAAATTCATTTGTAATAAATAAACACTTGCAGGTGTGTGTGCATTTATATATATATATATATATATATATAATAAATTGTATTTGTTGACAAGCGCAATGTTGTTTGATATTTTGCACGCGTCGTTACATTTTCGCATAAAGTGCAATAAACCGGCGTCAATAGAAAGAATCAACCAGCTCTTAACTATTAAGCTGGATCGTCAGTCAAGACAAGAATTCCCCCCGAGCTCATGACTCACGCGCTGCGTGGGGTTTCCTCAAACAAGACAAGAGATACAAGTTAAAAGAAATACAATAATCAGATACAACACAAGAGATACAAGTTAAAAGTGATGCAAAAATGAATAAAAAATATATTTTCAAATAAAACAAAACAACTTTAATTTACATATCTGACGCGAATTCATATAAGCACGAGCTGTAGCTGAACGTGTGTGTATCTATATCTCGTAGATACTCGGGCGAGCACGAGACACCATCAATGTTTGATGACGTCAAAGGCTTCATTCTCTATTATGTGGCATAACAGCTCAGAGGCGATGTAATAGAGTGGAAGAGAAGAAGTCACCCAACTGTTGCTGAGGATGTGCGTGTGCCTGACATTTCAACGAAGCCACTTTGGAAAATCACTTGACTGAATCAACAGATTTTTGCCATGCCAACGGCAACGGCAAAGGCAACTTCACCCGCATCCATCCTCCATCCATTTCCAGCCAACCCCAATGTGCGTCTAATGATTGGGGTTGGGTGCTGGGGGGAGTATGCTGGGCGCTGCCTGCTTCTGCTTTTCTACTTAATGTTGAGAAGTACTTCTATTTGATTTATGGCTGACTTGAGTTGAAGAGCCAGGACATTTGAGGTGAGGGCAGCATATGATGGCGCCTAGAAGTGGGGATTGCATAATCGAGCGGACGAGCATTAAATGTATTCCGTGTGAGGCAATAAATTGGACAATTTCTTTTGGTATAAATAGGCAACTCACAACTCTTAGAACACCTAACTTTAACCTAAATCATATTACGTTCACATTGTTTTTAAAGTAAATACTAAATTCAAGTTTTGCCCAAGCTTTTATTCTACTCTGAAAAAGTCTGTAGAAAAAATCTTGCTAGCAAACCTGATTTATTAGTTCTCCTCTTTGAAGACGTAGTTTTGTTTTTAAATAAAACCTACGTTAAAATCTGTTTGCACTTATTGAGAACTTAAAACTCACTTGTGTGTAAATTATACTGTCAATATTCTGTGCTTAAATAAAACTCTTAGTCCTGTGGAGGACGCTGAAGAAAGCTGAAATTTTTGCTGTAGTTATCGTTGTAGTTCCACCCGCATGCGTGGAAATATCGGGAAAACAGTTTTATAAAAAACGTGTGCTTTCCTTCTTCCAAATTTATTGGAGACGTCTTTCACACTTTTCTCAAAGTCCTCTCGAGCAAAATATGCTCATGACGATCGAAGTTTTCCAAAAGATCTTAATTAATATGTTTTTGATTTGTGCTTTGCAAAATTTACAATTCGATTAAAAATCAAGGTCAAAAGTTTACTTATAGTTAAAGGTAATACGGGTAGATTTAAGTTGTCTACGTCCGGCAAATTTGCAATTAGATAGAATGTGGCAAATTTGCAGCAAAAACTTAGACGGAGCAAGCTAAGATATCTATTTTAAGGGTGATTCGAACCAGAAATCATTTTTTATTTTTTTTTTCCTCGAACCAAGTTTTGAACCGACATCTGGGTTGAAGGATATGGAAAATCTGAGCATTGTTTTGAGCCGTGAATTGAACAGGATTATTTTGGATTCTCAGCCTGATGTGAAAGTACAAAAATTTTAATTTAACGAAGTTTTCCATACAACTTAATTTTCAACCGATCGTTCCTATGGCAACTATATGATTTAGCAGTCCGATGTTGATAGGGTTTCGCATATATACGAAAAGTATAGTAAAACTAATAAATGCCAGGTTTGGTCAAGATATCTTAATGAACAAACAAGTTTTTCATACAAGAACCGATCGTTCCTATGGCAGCTATATGATACAAGGGTCCAGCTGGTTCCGGACATGGCTATATCCACTCGGTTGCTGATACTGATCAAGAATGTATATACTTTATTAGGTTGGAGTTGTCTCCTTCTAAGCGTTACACATTTCACGACAAAATTATAATACCCTTTGCAAGGGTGTTAAACAGTCAATAGTAGGATTCATATTTAATATGTATTTATTGTATTGATTCTTTTGTTCACGTAACAAATTTTTCAGAGTCCTGCAACATGTAACTTTCCGCTCTTCTGTCTGAGTTAAAAACTTGAGCGATTAACTCAGATGCGCGCACGGGAGTCCATTTGGCAACAATAAAGTTGAACAACCAGCGCGCGCACAATATTAAACCCAAAAGTGATAAAAATGTTGGACAATTAAGCAGAAGTCTGCAGAAGGCGACCCGTTACAAGGTGCACAGTTTGGTTTAGAAACAAAATCGAAAGTACTTAATAAATGCTACAGGTAGTTACAACTTATTCGACTAGGCACGTGTTACTGTCCCAAGTTGGAGGGCAGACTGAGCAGCGTGCTCTGTCCACTGGGCAAATAGGAAACACCACGTGACCTCGATAGCTGGTAGGCAATGTCCTCAGCAGCTTCAATACGACGCAGCTCCACCAGACCATCGCCTGCCTCACCGAACGACTTGGCCAGTAGACCGGCAGCTTCAGCATCACCCTCAGCCGAAATAATGGAAGCCAACTTTTGTTGCTCGGCCTTCTCGACAACGAAACGCGCCTTCTCTGCCTCCTGCTGGGCAACCTGTTTCATTTCAACAGCCAGTGTGAATTCTCGGCCAAAGGTCAAGTGCGTCAGCGAGATATCATCCAAAATGAAACCGAATTGCTTGGCACGTACAGTGAGCTCCTGAGACACGCGCTGAGAGACCATCTGTGGATAATAAAGGAGAGGTTAAGCTATTGACATACATTTACGCACAACTCTAATTAATTGCTGACCTCACGCTGTGTAATCAGTTCTCCAGCATCGAATTGAGCAACAACCGCTTTTAGAACCTCAGGCGCAATGGAAGGCAACACACGCTCATCATAATCCTGGCCAAGAATCGTGTAGATCTTTGGCAGCTCATCAGGTATGGGACGATACAAGATACGCAGCGTGATATTGACATTTTGCAAATCCTTGCTGCCGGTAATCACCGGCACGTTCCGAGGCTGGGAACGAATGTCAAAGATAATGGGACGCTGCACCCAGGGAATGAAGAAGTGTGTACCCTCGCCGACAACGTGCTCCTTAATGCCGGTGAAGCGATCAAAAATTACCGCCCGATGGCCACCTTCAACATTATATAATGCGGAGTTCACGACACCGCCCAGCAGTGCAACGCCGAGACCCATTTGGCCAATACGATTAAAGAACTGAGCAGCCATTTTTCTTAAGAATAACAACAAAAAATTATGTAGTTTTAGATAAGTTATAAATTCAATGTGTATATTGTGTGTTTATGTAAATTAACCGAAAGCCGACTAAGTTGTGTATTTCGTCAGATTTGTAGGTTAGAACGTCATGTAAAGGCGCAAAGTGCACAGTATGTGCTCTTATTAAAGTGCACAATGTACTTTTTCGTAGCCGTGTTTACAGTGAACTCGTTTTACTATCTTTATATTTATTTTTGCGCTTACTTAAATGTTTAATAACGTTATAATTGCACAAAATCGCTTGCTTTACACTAAAACCGCACGCAGTGAAACGACAGCTGACAGTGTTGTAAGCCGCCATTAGCGGCAATGTGAGATTTATAGTGGTGAGTAATTGCTCACAAAAATATCGATAGACCGATAGGTGTAAACTATTCCAATCAGAGCCCGGAATTTCAAATATTAACATTTGCAATTAAAACAATTGTGTTTGAAATGTTAAAATAAACATTTATTGCGTCATCTCTGCGCGTCCTGCGGTTTTGGGCATCTTTTTATTAGTGGAATCCTCCAGTTCCTTTGATTTGTAGTAATGAGGAGCTACCTCCAGCAGCCATTTGCTTTCAATTTCAATAACCTGACGCATGTACTCTTTGGAGGTGAAGACCAGCTCATGATATAGCACCCACCGCGGCAGCTCCTCAAACAACGACGAGTTGGGATGTATCATTACAGTTTGATTGTGCTTAATTGTCTTGTAGTGACCGCCCTTGGACAGACGTGCCACATGATAAAAGTAGCCAGCCGTGGCCGCCTTGCGCACGTTGATCGTTTCTGGCAGACAGCTGACCATGTCTATTTCGACGCGCTGCATCAGACCGACCAGCTGCTCGCGCACATCGCGAGCCCGCTTCATGGATCTGTACTGTATAAAGTTCTCGTAGCACCACTGGGTGCTGTAATCCGTCTCCGCCCACTGGTTGTAGACCTGAAGCAGACTTAGATGGTCACCGTGCATATGATTGAAGTTCTTGCGCGCGGTATCAGCGTGTATGATCTTGTCCTTGGGCCGATAGAATATGGCGCTATTAACTGACAGCATGGCCGCTATGGTGACCATTTCCTCGGAGCACTTGTATCTGCAATATAAATAAGCCTATTAACCATTTGTGATGAAAAACAGAAACTATGTGCCACAAACTTTTCGCTGGCCAGCAGCATCTTTCCCATCATTGGGTCCACGGGAAACTCCGCCATGCGACGGCCCAGCTTGGTCAATTCGCCGTGATGATTGAGCGCACCCAACGCGTAAAGCTGCTCCAGTGCCAGCACTAGCGTCTCGTGTGGTGGCGGATCAAGAAAGTCAAAGTGTATTAGATCGTTAATGCCCAAGGCCTTGAGCATGAGCACCGCATTGCCGAGGTTAATGCGGCAGATTTCGGGCACTGTGTTCTCCTCCAGCTCGTGCTTGTATGCCCAGGCGGTGTACAGACGGAAGCATTTGCCTGGAGCTGTACGTCCAGCGCGTCCAGCTCGTTGATTTGCCGAAGCCTTTGAAATGGGCACCACCATTAGCGATTCCATGCCCGTGCGAGAATTAAAGTTGTTTTGCTTGGCAAAGCCCGGATCGATGACATAAATGATGTTGTCTATAGTCAGCGACGTTTCCGCAATGTTCGTGGCAAGGATCACCTTGCGTGCATTGGGCGGCGTCGGCTCAAAGATTTTGGCCTGCATGTCGCTGGGTAAATTGGCATAGACTGGAATGACAATGAGCTCGCGTATTTTGGAGCCCAAACGCTTGACACGATCCTGCAGCACCTCCTGACACGTCTCGATCTCGTCCTGGCCCGTGAGAAATACCAAAATATCGCCAAGCGGCTGCGTAGCGTGAATCTGCAGCACCGATACGCAGCAGGCGTCAATATAGTCCGCCTCGGGCGCTTTCGTATAGAATATATCTACCGGATAGCGCCTACCGGGTATGCGAAAAATGGGCGCATCGTCAAAGAAGGCGGAGAATTTCTCTGCATCAAGCGTAGCGCTGGAAATGAGCAACTTTAGCTCGGGCCGAAATCGTGCTATGTCCTTCACAAGGCCAAACAGAATATCCGTATGCAGCGTACGCTCATGGGCCTCATCAATGATCATGACGCTGTATGAGCCCAGATCCGGTTCCGAGAGGAACTCACGGTGCAACGTGCCATCTGTCATGTACTTGAGTATGGTGCGATCCGATGTACAGTCCTCGAAGCGAATGCTGTAGCCCACCTCATTGCCGAGCTTAACACCCATTTCTTCGGCCACTCGAGCTGCCACTGACATGGCAGCCACGCGTCGCGGCTGTGTGCAGCCAATCATTTTCTTATCCTTCGTAAAACCTGCATCAACAAGGTACTGCGGCACCTGTGTGGTCTTGCCAGAACCTGTCTCGCCTTCAATGATCAGCACCTGATGCTCCTTTACAGCTGCAATGAGATCCTCCTTAAAGGGATAAACAGGCAACGATTTGCGCGTCTCATCCAGCGTCAGACGCTTTCGTTCTTTTTCAGTTAGTTCAGCTTGTTTGGCGGTCTTCTCTCGGGTCCCGTCAAGTGTAAGGGCCTGTATGAAATCAATTTGATCATCCAGCAGCAACTCATACTCCTCCTCAGCCTTTGCGTCCTTGGCACCAAACTGGAAGCGTGCTGATGCCAGCTGCTCAGCCTCCCATTTCTTTTGCTCCGAGTTGGGCTGCTTCTCAAATTCATCAACCTCTACGTACTCCGCTGCAACCCATAATTTAATGTTTAGTCAGTTTCAAATATATTTAATGTATCCTAGATATTTACATCGCTCGCCCTTCTTAAGATCCTGTGGCATGTGATAACGCTGAATGCGCTCCAGCTCACGCGCCTTCTCATGCTCCTTGGCTATGTTCAACAGTTGTTTCTTGTACTGGCGCTCCTCCCGTTCGCGCTTGGTTAAACTTATGGAAGATCGAGTATGTTAGCTACTGCAGTTAGATATTTTAGCAAGCACTTACACGCTCTCTTCGAAGAGATATTCGTCGTCCAGTATGTCTGCCTCCAGCTCAGCCACTTTGTCTTCCTTGCGCTTTTCCAAGTACTGTCGGCGCGATTGGACGCGCAGATGAGGCACAATCTTGTCTCGGTCCTCATGCTCCAGCTTCAGGCGCTTGGTGGCCTCTTCAATCGCTTTGCGTCCGCCAGTTGCCTCAACCACTTTGCGGGTGCGTTCCTCATCACGCTGCTTCAAGCGATTGGCAAACTCATCTCGCTCTCGTAGATCCTTAAGACGCGACTCCTCTTCGCTGTCTGGCTCCTCCGCGCTGCTGCTGCTACTGCTAGCCGTCCGTTTACGACTTTTACTCGACATATTTCCTAAAATATTAAATCACAAGCCAAACACAACAAGAGAGCTCGCCGGTTGCCTGAAACTAGTACGCTGCTCACAATGCTTCAACATGTAAACAAGTCTGTTATCGCTTCTTATTTTGCTTAGCTATACGGAGCTCACAGCCATTAAACTAATTAAATATTTTGTCTGTTATGGTAAATCTTTCTATTAATAATATTATAAAGCAACGTTTTTACTTTATTGAATTATAATAATCAATTTTTGGTGTAATTATTTATTAATGGAGATTATTAAATTTTGCTCTGCCTATTTACTGGCAAGATGCATTAGATACCTTCGAAATTTGTTATCGATGTACATCGATATTTTCACGATAGCTTACACATCGATTAAATTTAGTCCGCCGCTAGCAGCCGCAACTTATATTTATACATTTGTTTTTCGGTAAACAAAGTCAATTTCGAGCATGTCGCGCCAATTAAGCTTTTGTCCTCAGCAAGAATATGAGCTCATTGAATATCCTGGCCGAGTGGTCAACACAGACCGCATGCTGTCTACTCTGGGCGGCATTGTTAACATATCAAAGGTAATAAACTTAAGATATTATACAAAAAGGAAACAACGCAAATTGTCCACTTTGCAGGTTCTGGGTGATGAGAAGAAACGCTTGGAGCTGCGTTTTCATCCGGATAATCCATACAACAAGCCCACCTTTGGTGACTGCACAGACAAATCAGGTGTGCTGCTGTCGGTAACCGTGCGACGACATAAACGCGACAAGTCGCGCCCGCCGCAGCACTTTGTCCGGGTGCTGGGCCATTGCAGCCGCAGCTTCTCATTTGAATGTAAGATGTGGATAAGGGATTCTTGATTAGAGTGTTAACCAGACTCTGCTGCTTGCAGCGCTTTGTGATTTTCAGTATCTGCCCCTTTGGCATATGCCCAAAAGTGATGATTCCTGTGCCGCATCAGAGCTGATGTATGCATTGGATCAAGTGCAGCCACGCGATGTGACCGACTTGGACTATTTCAAGTGAGTAATTCGCTATATAAATTAGAAAGTGTTGCAATGCCTTTGCTCTGCAGACGCCCTCAGGCGCAGTTGCTTTGCCTGCCGGAGCTGTTCGCACGCGTGGACATTGTGCACGGGGGACACTATCGAATCGATGGAACTGGAGATGGTCAGCATGAGGTGCTGGGCGTATCGGCCAAGTCCACCTATGACAATCACGATGTCGTCTCGTTCAACATGCAGGACACATTTCCCACCCAGCCAGATGCGCAAATACTCAAGCGCCTCAAGGTGAAATACGTCTCGGACGAGCAATTCGCCCGGGTCAAGAAGCTGTTCGATGATATTCCCATCTGGACACGCATTGCGCTGCTGTACGAATCGGGCGTAACCAATGAGAAGCTAAAATGCATCATACCATCACTGGCCTTTTACTTTAGCAATGGTCCTTGGCGCACATTGTACGTGCGCTATGGCTACGATCCCCGCAAGGACTTCAAAAGTCGACACTATCAAACATTTGACTTTCGCTTGCGGTTCGGCTCGGGCGTATCCGAGTTTGTCTACTCACGGAAGTCTGCCAAACAGAAGAGATCATCCACGGCCGCCAGCGAGGAGATGAAAAGTGAATTGGTGCAAAACATCGATTATCCCTATTTTGATGAGCACAAGTTGCCACGTTCCAGGCAGTGTATGCTACGCTATTGCGATGTGCGCCTGCCAAAGATACAGGAAATGCTGGAAAAGATTCCCACTCCGCTGACTGGCGCTGTTTGCAACGAACGCACCGGCTGGTTGCCACCCAGCTTCGACGCACAGGTGCGTCAAATTGTGTGCGCCACCATTAGCGATCTACTGCGTAATCATTATCGCAAAGAACATCTGACCGCCGAGGTGGAGGCTGTGCCGCAGACCGAAGGTGACGCTGAAGCAGAGGAGGAGGAATACTACATCGAAGACGAGGAGACTCAAGAGGAGGACATGGACCTGGATGAAACGCCGGCCAACGAAAACCTCGTCGATAAAAACATTGAACAGCTGCTCAACAATATCACAAGCTGATCAGATTAAATAAGTGATCTCTAACAATAAGACAAACTAAAATGGTTTTAGCTGTGATCACTAATAGTTTTACAAGATTTTTGAATAGTTTTGGGATTGCAAAATTAACAAGATCTAAAGAACATGTCAACAAGTGGACGATTAAGATGCTTATAAAAGAAACTTGTCCCAATCTTTTAAAACTGGGGAACTGAAGCTGAACTGATTCAAACTGATTGTCAATCATCATAGACATTTCCTTTAAATCCTTTAAGCCTTGTAAAGTCACTCTGCTGATTGCCAGTGGGTAATCCTAGCTCTACTTCCTTTCAAGCTTTCAGTGATGCGCACCAGGTTATAATGCAGCTTAGACTCGGGTCTTCCTTTGGGTAAGTGTATATATATTAATTAAAAGATTGTGTCCATGGGCAGGCTATGTCCTTTTTGCAATATATGAAAACATAGTAGGCAACCGATTTTATTTTTCTGCCACTGGCCGCTGAGCACGAATAAAATTCGAATTTCCCAGCATATTAATATTTTTGTATTGTCAGCGTCAGCTTTTAATAAAATTGTTTGTAAATGTAACACTTGCAAAAAAAAAAAGAAGGTTTTTCAATTAATAATTTTTAAAAAAGTTTTCAGAAATTTCAGTTAGTATATCAAGGATTAAATGCAAAAATTACATAATAAATCTCCGATTCTTTTGCCCATTCCCTAACTAATCAAGAGACAAAATGGAGCTATTTGAAGGGTCTAACAGTGCGGAACAAGTTGGGTGCCAGGCAGAGAATGCCGCTTGTGGCGGCGTTGGCACTTTGGAGGAGGAGGACTTGGTACATTGTGCGACAGTTTGGAACAGAATGACCTTTGAGGAAAAGGAAAAGTATCGCAATATAGACAATTGCAATACATCAAATATAGAGACCGTTGATCCAGTCAGTTCTATGGAACTTTGCAAAGAAGATGATGCCGACGATACAATTTTAGACCCATTCTGTCCTGAGAAGCCGTCCTGCTCGAGAAGTCTGAAGCCAAGGTGCACGACACGCAGGACCAAGCGTAACATATGCCAGCCCCGCAAACGAAAGAGGCGCTTCGGTGTCAAACGCAAAAAGTGGGTGAAACCGGGTCCAATCACGAACAACCCATACTTGAATTTCGTTCGCACCGTTCGACGCAGATACTGCGGCCTGTTGCCCAAGCAGCTAGTCATTCTGGCTGCCTATGAATGGCGGTGTCTGAGTGATAACAAGAAGCTGCGATATCGTCGCCAGGTACTGATCCACAATCAGCCCACGTCCACGCTCCTTGCCACTAACCAAATCTCTCTCCCTCTCTTTTAATAGGCTTGCCTGGTCAGTGCCAGTCAGCGCCAGCAACTGCGATGTGAATGCAATATAAATGAATAACTATATCTGGACCTGTTCATTATAGTCACAAACGAAGGAATACCGCGCCTTCAGCTGCTTCTTCGAGTTCTGATGTCATTTGCTTCTCGTTTAGAATCATAAATACAATAATGCAATGCACCCAGTATCTATTAAATATATCTCTTATAATGAATCGCGCCCAGGAAATGCTCTTCAGCATTCTTTAATTCGAGTTAGTTATGGCCATAGCTAAGATCACATACAACATCCCAGAATTAAGGGATTGATTGCTTGAGATTGAAACAAATTGATGTCCACAGTAATTGTAATAAGAGGAGTCTCTACTGTGAGCTGCATTTACCCAGTCTATAGTCTGAATCCTGCTCGTGTGGTTGGATCAGAATACCTCAGTAAGCCGACCCAAGATGTGGCTATAAATATAAATTTTATATAATCGGAGATGCTTGTTTTTGCCTCCAATCTATTCCATTTTCAGATTAAAAAGGCAACTGTTGACTTTTTTGTTGCTCTTTTATTGGCCTTGAGAATTGGTTAATAAAGCTCCGCTTAAGCGAGAGCGGGCAATAATATGCATCTATCTTTGTTGCAGATGCCGAGCATCTCAACAGATATTTTTTAGCCTTTGGGCGTGTTTTTACTTTTGTACGTGAGTTAAACGTAAGACAAGTTGGGATTATATATAAGCTTTAAGCGGAAACTGTTTAGATTTGTAAATGCTGCGTGTTGTAGAAATCGCGAAGCGACTTAAGGCTTGCATCTGTCGAGGAAGCGTGGATAGAGGCAGACGTCGCGGATGTGATAGCGGTTGAGCAGCCAGCAGAGGAAGCGTTCCAGACCCAGGCCGTAGCCGCCGTGCGGCATTGTGCCGTAGACGCGCTGATCTGTGTACCAGTAGTAGGGCTTGGGATCGATGCCCTCGCGCTCGTAGCCCTTCATTAGCTCGGCGCTGTCGTAAATCCTCATGGAACCGCCAACAATTTCACCCACATTCGGCAGCAGCACATCCACGCTCTCGGTAAGGCGCTGATCGTCCTTGCAGCGCGACATGTAAAACGATTTGATTTCGGCCGGAAATTTAATCAACAGAATCGGTTCATTGATTGTGTCAGTCATTTTGCGCTCGGGCGCCTCCGGAATATCCTCGCCGAATTCATAGAACGTGCCGTCTTCCTTGGGCACGTTGTTCTCCTTGAGCCATTTGATGGCGTCGGCGTATGGCATGCGCCTAAATGGCTTCTTTGGTGGCTTAAAATCGGGATTGAGCTCCTTGACGAGGTAGCCCCAAGGCGACTTCAAAACGCGATCAACCACATCACAGACCAAGTCCTCCAGGCGATCCAGCAAATCGTCAAAAGTAATGAACGGACACTCGGCCTCAATGTGAGTGTACTCCGCCAAATGGCGACGTGTCCGGCTCTGCTCAGCCCGATAGCTTTGCGCAATGGTAAACACATTGCCCAGTGCCGGCAGGCATGTCTCCAAATAGAGCTGGGAGCTCTGTGTGAGGTAGGCCTCTTCGCCAAAGTACTGCATCTTGAACAGCGTGGAGCCGCCCTCGACCTGGGTCTGCACTAGCGTTGGAGGCGTCACCTCGTTGTAGCCGCGCTCAATGTAATGTGCACGGAATGCCTGCATCACAACGGAGCGCATCTTGAGCACCTTGGACGTGTTCTCGCCGCGTATCATGATGTGCCTGTTGTCCAGCTGCACGTCGGGATGCGCCTCCTCGTTGAGTATTGCATCAGCACCGCCCGGCGGCGCCAAGCCAATCAGTTCCCAATAATCAACATTCAGCTCGTGTCCGCCTGGCGCTGTTTTGCCCTCCGGAAGCAGCCGCAGCGTGCCATAGAGCAGCACAGTGCTCTCAGTGCTGAGCATCAGCGCCTCGTACGTCTGACACAGCAGATCGTTGAGCACGCACTGCAAGAATCCGGTGCCATCGCGCAAGGTAATGAACATCAAGGATTTGCCCTGTCGGCGCAAACGATGTACCCAGCCGTAGATTTTGACACGAGTGTTGCGCTGCTCGGTGCCCTCGACGATGCGAATTCTCTTGGCCACCGGCAAGCTGGGATCCTCGCTGATCTTCACTTTGCGAGCGTCTTCCAGATTCTGTTGCCGCTTCACAGCATCCTCGGCCTCGCGCTGCTCCTTATCCGCATTCTTGTGGCCCTCGCGCACAAAGAGCTTTTGGATTTTCTTCAGCTGCGATTTGGCTGCCGGCTCGTAGACTTCGCTGGCGTTCGGGTCCTTGCTGTCCACATAGATAGTGGGAAAGGGCTCCTTGCCGGCATGACGCATCGCCTGCAAAATGGTTTTATATGGCTTGGCCTCGCTGCCATCGCCCGAATCGTCGCTTCCACGCTTTTCCGAAGTGAAAAGCGCACCTGCAAAAATAGACAGTCAAATATCCATTTACACACAAATTAACACTCACTTCGACAAGTAACTTCCACACACACATATAATGGCAACGTGGACGGCCACAGATGCCGCATTGCTGAATACTAATCTTAAAGTATGTATAAATGATAACTTACTCATTGTTAGCTCGGAAAACTGCTTTGTAGGCATTTTCTGAAATGATCTAATATAATTTAATGCAACTGCTTTTAACTTCTTGGCCTGCCTGACTAAAAAATGCACACAAATTGCATCAGTTGCTGACGAAATAGAAGAAAGGGAAATATTAGATTACTGGGAATTTGTCTTTAACAGCAAGGCGTAACATTTTCCCTAATGTTCGCATGGGCTGTTATTTACATCGTGCATAAATCACGTTTGCAAAATAACCAGCCAAGCAGTAAAGATCAAATAAATAATAAATAAGTCGAAAATTTAATTTACCTAATTAGAACAGCCAGTAAAGCAGCAATGTATAATCTTTACAAAACTTTAATTAACAGCGGCAAATCACTCGTGGACAGCCCTGTTTCGATCATATTAATTTATCGATATATTAAGATCTATCGATGAATCAACTTTTTACTGCAAAGAGGTAAACATAGTTATTACAATATTTGCAATGCCCACGGAAAACAAGTAAGGCTTTATTATTTGAGATCTACGTATAGTAGTATTATTAACGGAACGTTTTCCAACTAGTATCAAGATTTTCCCCAAGTCGGTGGTCTGCGAGGAGAGCACTCTACGTGGTGACATCACCTTTTCCGCTGGTTGCGTCGTGCATCCCAGCGCAACAGTCATTGCCGACGCTGGACCCATTATAATTGGCGAAAATTGTATAGTAGAGGAGTATGCAACCATAGCACATCGACTTTCGGACGGCGCCAGCTGGGATGCTAACAATATTCTGAGCATTGGAAGCCACAATGTCTTCGAAGTCGGCTGCACCGTGGAGGCAGCGCGAATTGGCGACAAAAATGTGTTCGAAAGTAAATGTTTTGTTGGCAAAGGAGTGACCGTGTCCAGCGGTTGTGTAATTGGAGCTGGCATTCGAATGCACACTGCGCAAGTGCTTCCTGAAAATACTATTGTGTATGGGCAGCAAGCACTGCAGCGCGAGGCCATCGAGAAGCAGGGCTCGCAAACCCTGCAGATCGACTTCTTACGGAAGGTTTTGCCCAATTATCATCACCTGCGCAAGCCCAACTACGACCCAAAGAAGGCACGCAGCGTCGTATAGATTTAATATGTATTGTATAGGCTAGTGTATTAGTTAACTTCTAAAGCTGAGGCATTAAAGACATTCATCTCTTTCTCAAACGTTTCGATTGTATGATCGCACAGCGCCTCCAGGTCCTCAAGTCCCCGCTTCAGCAAGTCAATCGCGCGCTCGCGGTGCGACTGTATGCGGAAATGCAGCTTTTGCTCTGTGGGATGTGGTATCGTATAACCGCAAAAGTCGACCTCCGGGTAGCGGGCTATAATTGTTTTTAACGCATTTCCAAGCGTGTGTCCCTCATTTATGAAAACAAATGTGCGGGAACCGTCTCCATTTTTTTCATCTCCTGCAAGCTAAGGCTTACACAATATTTATTGTCCAAAAGTTGTTGGTGAAAGCATTTTTTACCTCTGCCAATGCGCCCATTGTGCTGAAAATTGTAGAATTACACAAAACAAATGTAACTATTGTTTTCATCAAAAACGTGCACAGTGTTTATCGGTTGCTTTGCAGCCCTGTGTTATCGAATTTTCGATATTTCGTTATTTGCGATGTCTTGCAACACTCGTGTTCTTGCACATACAGCGAGAACACGCTTGAAACTGAGTTAATGCGAATTTATAAACGTAGTATTGTTGTTAATTTATAATTAGTGCAATCGTTATTTAGAGCGCAACAACAATACGATAGTCAATTTCTAGTGTAATTCAACGCTTTTCACAAAAGTTACCAAACAGCATAAGCAAATTGCAATAAGTAAAGTGCCGCGACTGTGTATGTGTTGTGTGCGTGTGTTTGGAACCAAAAAAAAGTCTTATACAGCAGAAAAGGCGGCAAAAGAAACACAACAAAAATAACACTGCACATGATATGCTAAGCAAGGCGGCAAAAAAATTGCAACTACAAACATAATTATTTGTGCAATGCATTTAACGTGAACGTCGGCATCGTCTTGTTGCTCAAAAACAAAAAAAACAAAAAAAAAAAAAATCACTGACATTACGAATGAGCACAAAACTTTTTGCAGCATTTCGTTTTGTGCGTCAATGCAGACAGGAATAAAGAAAGAAACGGCGAAAATAATCTGCAGCGATCCAACAAAAACAACACAGAAACAGAAACGGCAAATGAAATACAGGTTTGTGCAAAAGCAGCAAAAAAAAACCAAATCAGCTCATTGTACATAGTATGCACTTTAATATATTTTATTGGTATTTTATAAACCAAAAAGGTGTCATTTTTTATGAATTTCTTTTTGTTGTGACTACCACGCCTCCCCACTTATATATAAGCAACGCGCCGTATATACATGTATGTGTACATACATACACACATACACTATATCAAATTATGCAAATTCATGCAGCAGTTGCGCTGCCGACGCCAGGCGTGCGCAAAGGCGGAAGCGTATGCTAGAAGACCAGTTCGCTGCCAGCGCTCAGCTCTGTTATTCTTTTTATTTGCTGTTATTCCAATACATACGTATCAATGTACGTAAATGCATGTGTATATATGTATATGTATATATATATATACATTATTACGTTAGTAGTTGCTAGGCCGCTTGTTCTTCACCCTACACCGCCTTTGCGTACATTTTTTATTTTTACATGTTCTGTCAGAAAACGTTGCCTTGCGGCTCATTTGTTTGGTGGTGGAAGCGGCGTCGTCATCGTCGCTCACATCTGTTGTTTGTTAAAGCAGCCTGTCTCTGGCTGCCCGCCTGCCCGTTCGCCGCCTATCTCTTTGGTGGTGGTGGTGGTGACTAACGCAAAACCGTGTTCCGTTATCTCAAAACGTTTCTCACGTCCCGGTGTCCAATCCAGATCTACACACCCACACATTTTGAGCGTGTGTTGTAATAGCAGAGTTTTTAATGAGAGTATGTGTGCTTGTATGTGTCATTGGTGGCTTTTATGGCGTTTGGCGCCGTTTCATGTTTCATCCAATGCTATGCGTTCCCCTTACATATTTGCAGTTTGGTCTACGTCTACGTTCCGTTTTCTCTGCGTTCCCCCCATTATGTTGTTCACCCTTTTGCATGTTTCAAAGTCCATTTGAATTCATATGTATATTACATACATACATGTGCATGTCTAGTTCTCCAGCTGGCATATTCCTGTACAAAGGCAAATGCTTAGATCACAGGAACATTTTTATCCAACTTATTTGATAGTGAAAGGTATTTGATCCCAGCAAAGGCAGAGGATTGATAAAACATAATTATAATTCATATATATATATGATTTCGCAACTAAGCAAAGGGCGTATAAATTTATGTATGTAGACACATAAACATATTTGTGTCTGGCTATCTGGCAGCGTCGGCGGCTGGCTGTCAAGGGAAGAACGTCGACCGCGGCAGACCATGAAAACTAAAAACCCTGTTGGACATCAACACAGACAAGGCACAGACCACGGCAACATCCTGTACAGCAGCCACGAACGAAAAAATACACATAAAGCATAAAAGAAGAAAAAAAAAACCTGTCATCTGCTCCTGACGTTCCCTTCCCGCCCCGCTTGCAAGTTTGGATTTGCCAGACTGCCAAGCAGCCTGCAATCGACACGGCTTCGACATAGATATAAATATATACGTATTGATGTACTTGTGTGTGTGTGTGTGTGTGTGTGTGTGCATGTGTGTGTGTATGTACATACCTTTAGCGAAAAGCAAGCAAGAGGACATTGAACGCCGTTCGTCCATCGTTAGTCCAAGAGCTGCAGACAGGAGGCAGCATTTTTAGAATTCCCAAAAAAAAAAAAACATAAACGTGCAAGTAAGGATATCTTCGGCTCGCCGAAGATTTAATACACTTCTACACATTAACCTTTCCAGATATGTATGCTGTTGAAAAATTCAGAGTTAGTTGAATATTCTTGGAAAGCAAAAAAATCCTACCATTCCACCGATATTCCCTATATAGTGGTCCGATGTTAATAAGATATTGCATATATATGAGGATCATAATGGAACTAATAAATCCCGAGTGTGGTAAAGTTAGCTTAATATCATAAAAGGTTTTCATATCACAGCCAACTTTTTGACGTTCCTATGCCTTACACATTTCATGACAAAAGTAACATAAATTCTGCAAGGGTATTCAAAGCAACTGTCGAGAGCAGACAGCATAAACAAAAACAACAACTATGACATTCCGCACAGGGACAGAGCTAGGAAAAGTCTGGCAACACTGTCTGTGTTTTTTTTCTTCTGCTATGCAAGTGATCCGCGCGAACCGTCTACAGAAAAAGTAAATGATGTTGCCAGATTAAAGGTCTAGAAGGAAGCAGCTGGTCACATTTGATCGCAATGTTATCGATAATCTATCGAACTGTTGTTGTTTGTAAATGCAATTCTTTGCTTTAAGTAAATGCTGCAAAACGTAAATGTATATATATAGCGTTTGACTACCTAGCTTGCTGTGTATGTACATGTATATGTAACGTGTGCTACCCCGGCTGCAATGTCCTGTGCGTCTCTGTCTGTGTGTGTGTGTGCGTGTGTTTGTGCAGTTTCATTTCGTTTTCTTTTCACTTTTTGGCCATTGCCTGATTCTGCTTCTTTTATTGTTTTACTTTTACAGCTGCCTCTTTTTTAACTTGCATTTATGCCCGCTCGTTCGTTCTTCCTGGTGCTGCTGTTGTTGTTGCTGTTGCTTTGTGTTTGCAGCAAGGGTGGAACAGAGCTCAACGGTTCATCGCAGCCGTCGCACAAAACAAAAATTTATAACATTCGTACGTCTGGCTTTGATCCTTTTGGGCTTGCTTTTATTATTTTTGCTTTCGGTGCAGACGTCTGTCTGGCCACCACCACCCCGAATCACGAGCATGAGGGGGAAAGTGTCTTGCAAATAAATAAATAGTCATGTCAGCCATAATATTAATGCCAGCCCAAATGCCAGGAAGGTGGTGCAAAGTTTACGTTTTGGGGGCGGCAGCGTTGCTAATCAACCCTCTGGGGCGCTGTTTGCCCCGACAACAACAACAACAGCAAGAACAAGAACAAGAGCAAGAACAAGAAACAGAAACGGGAGAAGAACCAATTGCGCAGCCTCCCCCAAAATATATATCGTAAGTCTGTGCGTGTCTGCGTGGGGTCAATAAACTTTCGCGCCACCAACTTGTGCGGCATGTGGCAGAGATGGACCATTCCAAGCCGAAACGAGCCCGGCAACTGGCAACTGGGAACTGGGTACCAGGGATCAGGGACCGTGGACACGTTTCCTTTCTCTAGTCACCCTCGACGATGCGATGCGACTCGTCATCGGTGGGTCGCATGTTCTACGCATTTTTGTGCATTGACCCCAGGCAACCCACCCCCCTCCAAACCAACCCCTCCATACGCGCACACACAATGGCAACCCTTGTTGATTTGATTTTCATACGTCTGAGTGGGGCCGAGCAGGTGAGGTGGGCGGTGTCAGTGTCCTAATCCTTATGAATTTCGCTTGTTTCTGCTTTTATGTTTTCATATATATGCGGACATGCGTTCCCAAATATGGCCATCAAATAAAATATGTATGCACCTTCGATTACACCTTTATGATGTCATAAAGTGAAGACGGCTTTAATTGCACAGTGGGACACATTTACCTGCACAGTGAGCCAAACATATGTGTATATGTATGTTATATAAGCACATAAAACTGTTTTATGGCAACTTGGCTTAATGGCCCGTCATGGGCGTGGTTAGATTTTCCAAAGTCGCGACCAGACTAGACGGACAATCGGGCACTTCCTGTTTCGGCTTGACAGCAAATGCTATTCAACGTGTAATTTGCCTAACTTTGAGACAATGCCAGCAATCAGAGCATCATCATTAAGGGGGTCATTTAGTAGGGAGAATTTAAGGGTAGTTTACAGTTTTGTTTTTTGAATTCCTTGGGAAACAGCAGGAGGCGCCAGCTCATGAATATATATACATATATGCATGCTAAATTTCACGCTTTGCTCTGCACGTTTTGTCCAATATCTTAATGGGAATGTCCGAGAAAGTGCCAGACAGAGCATTACAGGGCGGCTGACTTGTAAATAGATCTTCGGGCTCGAAAGTGTGTGTAAGGGTTCGTGGGAAATTTGAATGTCTTGAAAATTGCCGTAGGGGTAGAGAGAAGAAGAACAATACGGAAGGGGCTCGAACAGGTTGCTGTCGCTGGAACCGGCTATTTGAGACGAACTCTAGTGTTGTGTAAGGCGAAAAGAAAATCCTAACAAAGTTGCAACACGCTTTCCGATAAAATGAAAACAAGAAGAGAACGGAATTAATATCCTGTTATACATGTAACAATACTTTCCATACAAACGCAGTTTTTTTTCTTGTAAAAATATCTTGTTAGATAAAAATATTAAAAATATTTTTCTATTATATCTATGACTAAGGTATGACATGATATATAGATCGGATCTGAGAGCCAAGTTTGCGTATTGTTGATACAGAACAAATCAAAACGAGTTTTAAATCAGCGTGAAGTTATAAAAACTGTTTATAAGACGATTTAT